CCCTTCTCCTCACCCTCAGATGGATTATCCTTCTCTTTAATATCTTGGAGACAACTTTTTTTAAATTAAAAAATATTTATTTTAGAGAGGGAAAGAACATGAGCAGGGGAGAGGGACAGAAGGAGAGAGAGAGAGAGAGAGAGAGAGAGAGAGAGAAAGAGAATCCCAAGCAGTCTCCACGCTCACGTGGAGCCCAGTGTGGGGCTCAATACCATGACCCGATGTCCCAACAATTTTAATTTTTAAAAAATACAATTGAATACAGAATTGTTTATAGTTCTCTAAATTTTAAATCAATTATTTACTTATTTCTTTTTTCAATGGAAATATCTTTTTTTTCCTGATAGTTCATAATTATTGTAGACTATACAAACAATATACAGAAAGGGAAGTCCCCCACCATAATCTCAGCCTCTCCCAAAACAGCTGTCAATAGATTTTTAAGGTTCATTTATTTTGAGAGAGAGAGAGAATATGAGTAGAGGAGGGGCAGAGAAAGAGGGAGAGAAAATCCCAAGCAGACTCTACACTCCACAGTAAGCCTGATCCGAGGTCGATCTCACGACCCTGAGATCATGACCTGAGCTGAAATCAAGAGCTGGAAAGCTTAGCCGACTAAGCCACCCAGGTGCCCTGTCAATAGTTTTTTTTAAATGCTTATATAAACATGTATGTGTATATATATTTATGTTTTTAAAAACGTGCATGGGGTCCTTTTCTATATCCCTTTTATATTTCACATACCGTATATATCATGGATGTCTTTTCATGTATAATTTTGCTCCCTCTAATAGCTATTCTATTTCCTATGTGGTATTCTATTTTCTGTTATGAACCATCATTTATTCAACCAGTAAATGGTAATCATTCAGGATGTTGCTAAGTTTTCATTTTTACATACAGCTTTGTCCATTTATTCTTTCTGTGAGATGGGTTTCTAGAAGTAAAATTGCTGGGTTGGAGAGTTTGCATGTTGATATTTTGGTAATTATTACCAAGTTGCCCCCGGAGGAAAAAAAACAAATTGCATTCCAACCAACAGTGTAAGAGAATGACTACAAACAACTCCAGTAGTGAGATGATTCATAGTGGCAAATGTGGAAAAAAAAAAAAAAAAAGAAAGAAAGAAAAGTTCAAGTTTTTAAAAAAGAAAGGTCTATATTTTCTTCTTTTGGATTAATTTATATTATTTACCCACTTTTATTGGGGTTTATAATCTTTTTTTAAATTTTATTTTAGATAGAGCTCATACAGGGTAGGGAGGGGCAGAGGGAGAGAGAGAGAGAGAGAGAGAGAGAGAGAGAGAGAGAGAATCTTAAGCAGACTCATGCTCAGCATGGAGTCTGACTTGGGGCTCAATCCCATGACCCAAGCCAAAATCAAGAGTTAGACACTCAACTGACTGAGCTACCCAGGAACCCCAGGTCACCCTGGGTTTGTAATCTTTGTTGATACATAACAAATTTGTTTGTTTGTTTGTTTTACAGAGATGATTCCTAAGCAAGAAACTGTAGTTACAGTTTTATTTATTTATTTATTTACTTACTTACTATTTATTTATTTATGAGAGACAGAGGGAGAGAGAGCGTCAGCAGGGGAGGGGCAGACAGAGAGGGAGTCACAGAATCCGAAGTGAGCTGCAGGCTCTGAGCTGTCAGCACAGAGCCCAATGTGGGGCTCGAACACATGAACCATGAGATCATGACCTGAGCCAAAGTCTGATGCTTAACTGACTGAGCCACCCAGGTGTCCCTGTTTGTTTGTTTGTTTTATTATTTTTAAGTAGGCTCCACACCCAATGTGGGGCTTGAACTCACGACCCTGAGATGAAGAGTCCCCTGCTCTCCCAACAGAGCCGGTCAGGTGCCCCTATAACAAGTTTTTAAATGTTAAAGATATAAATGCTTTGGAAAATATCTGTTTTTGCAGTCTTTGCTTTTGGACTATTGCCTCTTCTGCCTTATTGGGGATTTTTTTTTAATGTTTATTTATTTTTGACAGAGAGAGAGAGAGAGAGACAGAGCACAAGTGGGGGAGGGGCAGAGAGAGAGGGAGACACATAATCCGAAGCAGGCTCCAGGCTCTGAGCTGTCAGCACAGAGCCCGACGCAGGGCTCGAACCCACAAGTTGTGAGATCATGACCTGAGCCGAAGTCGGACGCTCAACCGACTGAGCCACCCAGGCG